CGAGCAACCTGGTCTGGTGGGAGGTGTCCCTGCCCATGCAGGGGGGTTGGAACTGGATGATCTCTAAGCTCCGTTCCAACTCCAAACATTCTGCAGTCCTGTGACCCACGGCAACTGAAGCCCTAGAAGTGCAGCAACTGGCTTCCAGTAGGCAAAACCAGGCCTTTTCTTCCACATCACCCATCTGAATTTTGTTTGGGGGTAAAATCCCACAGCAGCTGGGGCTGGAATGTCACAACCTCAATTGCTGGGATACCAAGAGGTGGTGCTCTGGGTCCGGGCCGGAACAGAGGAGCAACCTGTGGGGGGTGAAACCCTTCCCTCCCCTGAGCACATCTCCCCCTTCCCCTCCCCTGCTAATCGCTGCCAGGGGAACACCCTCCTCCTTTTCGCCGCCTCCCAAAAGCAGCGTGTCCCGGGCAGCCCCGGGGACCTGGATGGAGCAGGACATACCCGGTGTTGTCCTGGGCAGTTCCCGGCTGCTCTCCCGGGCAGCGGCGGCACCTGCGGGCAACAAAACATGGGTGAGAACCGAGAACATCCAACCCTACCCCGGCATCCCAGGAGCTGCCAGTGCCCCTTGCTGCCCAGGCTGAGGGACGTGCGCCAGGGAAGGGGAGCAAAGCTGTCCTGGGGGGCAAAGCTGTGCTGGCAAGCCAACAGCTCCTGGGCATGACTGGCTTGGAGTCAGCGACGGTAGGAAAGGGCAACAAGCGCTTCCCAGGGGCTGAAGAGGCTTCGGAGCTCTGCCACAGCCGTGTGTGCGCTCCTCGTGGCTTCTGATAGCATGTTGTTTGGGCTGCAAATACCTTTTTTTTACCGGATTCTGCTGCAGGGGGAGCAGTTTTAACAGGCAGCACCGCTGGTGCTCCCACCCCCGGTTGGGATCTGCCTGCAGTGGGAGCCTGGAGCTGGTTCCCTGGTGGTGGTGCCCAGTGTTTGCTGGGCAGCCGAGCAGCAATGCCTCTCTGCCCTCGCATCCAGGTTTCTCTACGTGCTTACAGGCTTATGGCTTCCCCTGAATATCCTGGCGTCTTCTGGGATGCACTGGCCAGGCATTCCTCAGGGATGGGAGGACGTAGAGGTGGGAGCATCCTGCAAGCCCCACCAAGCCATTTCGTGGCATTCCCTATGTGCCAGAGTGGGAGATGGCTCTGTGGAGAGGAGCCTGCTCCAGTCTTGGCAAAATCAGCCACTGAAACACCCAAAGCATAGAGGGAAGGTGCAGGAACACGCCCCAGGGTATGAAATATTCCCAAGTCATTCCATTGTTTGTGAGCAATGTCAAAGGCTGGAATATAGCCCCAGTTATACCCCCAGAAGGCTGGAATGCAGGCACCCCTCTGGCCCCTGTTACCCACACAGCAAGCATGATCAGACTCTTCCCAAGCCAAAAGCTCTGGGCAGATCCCAGATCCAGAGTTACAGTGGCCCCAAGAGGTCCTTTCACAACGCACTTGCTGCTGAATTCAGTGCTCAGACACCTCAGCACTGACACATCCTTTTTTGGTTTGTTTTCCCTGCTGGCTTCACCTCTGTGCCAGCCCCTCAAAACACCCCCAAGCCCCAGAGGAGCTGTGTGCAAGTACAACCCATGTTTCCCTCCTGCTTAAAGTGCAGGCTGGGTGGTGCAGCCCAGGCCGTGGGCAGCAGAGGGGGAGAGCTGTACTCACGGGTGTCGAGAGGGCCATGCTGAGCAGGCACAGGCACACAAGGGCTTTTTGCATCTTGGGCAGCTCCTGGGGGCAGAAAGAGAAACATCACTGGGCTTTGTCTTCCTGGAGCTTTGCAGTCCCCAACAGTCCTGGTCAGCTAGAAGCCAAAAAAGCTCCTGCCATCCCAAAGCCCCCCACGGCAGGGAGGTTATCCAGCTTTCCCTGGGTTTTGCAGTGCCCCTCAGCACGGCTTGGCCTCCCTGCACTCCTCCCAGCAGAGCAATGCTTCCACCCCAGGACACCTACTCTGACACCAGGCATGAAAGCTTCTCAGCTCACCCTTTCAGAGCAGCTGGGGTAGGTGTTTGCAACACACACTGCAGGGGCTGCTTGCACCTCCAGCCCTTCAGGCTGATGGAAGGAACTCATGAGCCGTTTCCAGCAGCGCTTCTAAGTGGCAGAAAAACACTAACTCTGCCTGCTCATAATTCTTATTTCACCCACCCACCCTGGCTGAGACTCATAGGTTCAGCTTGGAGGCTGTTTCCAGTGGCTACAGAAAAGCACCAGAAGGAAATTGAGGCAGGAGCAAGGCAGGCTCCAGAGGGAGCGACACCGGGATGCACGCAGCCGAGGCTCAGGCCATCTCCTTGCCTCCCACTCTTGCCCAGAGCGAGAGCAGGAGATGGCCTGCTCAGGGAGGGCAGAGCCCCAGGGCTGGGGAGAAGCAAGGCAAGCAAAACCAGGTAAGAAGTTTACCTTTGGCGGCCGGAGGCAGGTCCCAGCAGCAGACCCTGGAAGCTGTGCCCACTTTGCTGAAATTTAAAGTTGGCCCCGGGAGTGCAGAGCCAATCAGCTCCTTCCCGGGGACATTTGTCAGGGCTGACAGAACCCGCAGATAACCCAGGGGGAGTAATTTCTAGCTAAAAATGTGTTTGTGGTGGAAGACAGCTATCAAATGTTCCAGCTGGCTGGATAAACAGAAAGCACAGTTTATAAATATCTGTTCTGAAGGCGAAATTGCTCGATGATTAGCGCAGATCTTAGTGTGGCGCATGGCCAGCCTGGTTATTGATAAGAGGGGGTGCAGCAGGTTGTGACTGGCATGGGAAAAGCAGCAGGGCTGCTGGAAGGGAAGGGTGATACCAGCACTGAGGGGAAGTGCTGGCCAAGCTGACAGCTTTTTGGGTTTCAGCCTCAAGCCCCGTAAGCTAAACCTGCTGCAGGTGCAAAACAGAAAGGTGGTAAAAAAAAAAACCAAACAGTAAAATAATAATTTTTTTTAAGGATATTTTTCCATGCAGTGCTTGCAGGGAGACCTTCATGGCCAGCTTTGGGGTGAAAGAGGGTGTACTAGGAGGGTGTGCACAATGCAGGTCCTCTCTTCCTGCCCCGCTCTGGCTTTGGTGGCACTGCTGGTGGCCGAGGGGCTTCCCCTGCTGCTGCAGGCCTGGCTCACTGCGGGTCACAGCTCCCATCCCACCCACCACCCTGCCCTGGCCAAAACCTGGGAATCACACAGAATCACAGCATCTTAGGGGTTGGAAGGAACCTGGAAAGATCATCCAGTCCAACCCCCCTGCAAGAGCAGGATCACCTAGAGCACATCACACAGGAACGTGTCCAAGTGGGTTTGAATGTCTTCAGCAAAGGACACTCCACAACCTCTCTGGGCAGCCTGTCTCAGCACAACCACCACATTAATGCCAGAAAAGCCATCAGCATCTGGCCTCAAGTGGGAAGACAAGTTATATCCAGGAGGAAAGCTGTCCTTTCCCCCCTCCCAGAGCAGGGAGCTGTGGTGGGATGCTGCCCAGCAGGTGCTGGAGCCACCAACCAGCCTGGACCATCTCCTGGGCCGTGGCCCAGGGAGCAGCTCTGGCCAGGTGCCCAGGGAGGCTGACGTCCACAGGGCCTGGCAGGGTGCCCCGTGGGATCTGGGCCCAGCCCCCAGAAGTGCCAAGGTCCTTTGTCCATGCTGGTGCTTTGACGTCTTTTGGGTACCCCCCGGGGATGTGGGTGATGGGGCTCTCGTGTCCCCCCCGGCCAGGGCTGCCCACAGGGCTCCCCAGTGCTGCCCTGGGGATTTGGCCCCAGGGGTGCCCACCCTGCCGGCAGCACAGAATCACAGCATCTTAGGGGTTGGAAGGAACCTGGAAAGATCATCCAGTCCAACCCCCCTGCAAGAGCAGGATCACCTAGAGCACATCACACAGGAACGTGTCCAAGTGGGTTTGAATGTCTTCAGCAAAGGACACTCCACAACCTCTCTGGGCAGCCTGTCTCAGCACAACCACCACATTAATGCCAGAAAAGCCATCAGCATCTGGCCTCAAGTGGGAAGACAAGTTATATCCAGGAGGAAAGCTGTCCTTTCCCCCCTCCCAGAGCAGGGAGCTGTGGTGGGATGCTGCCCAGCAGGTGCTGGAGCCACCAACCAGCCTGGACCATCTCCTGGGCCGTGGCCCAGGGAGCAGCTCTGGCCAGGTGCCCAGGGAGGCTGACGTCCACAGGGCCTGGCAGGGTGCCCCGTGGGATCTGGGCCCAGCCCCCAGAAGTGCCAAGGTCCTTTGTCCATGCTGGTGCTTTGACGTCTTTTGGGTACCCCCCGGGGATGTGGGTGATGGGGCTCTCGTGTCCCCCCCGGCCAGGGCTGCCCACAGGGCTCCCCAGTGCTGCCCTGGGGATTTGGCCCCAGGGGTGCCCACCCTGCAGGCAGCACCCCCTGCCACCCTGCCGAGCTGCAACCTAGGTTTGGCACAGGGAGGGGGGTTGGTACAGCGGTCAGCAGCTCATTCTGCACTTGGAGCTGTAACAGGAGCTGAACACAGGTTCCCTTTCCAGGAGCACCAGGACAGGCACCTGCCGTAACCCGTGTGTGAGGAACATGGCTTTTCTTAAATGGGGACAGCCTGCCTCAGAATCCAGAGGGATCTGGTCATTCCCCATCCCTGGTGCTGATCCCCAGCTGGCCAGACCTGCCTCCCACGGGGAGGTGACTCCAAGCAGTGACCTGGGGACCAAAAGCAGAAGCAAAGCACTCATTACAGGGAGGTGCATCTACACCTAGTGATGCACGAAAAGAGACGTTAATATATTTACCTTTAATTAATATGGCTTGGTGTGTGGTCAGGCCATGGGGGGCATCCTACTGAAGAGTGGAAGACACAGCAAAGTTGTCATGGCCCACACGAGGGAAATTCATCTCAACCCTACACAAGAGCTGGCTGTGATCCCACAGCAGTGACCCTACAGATGTCCTTCTGTTTCTCAGAGGAGACTCAACAGAGGCTTTTTCCTAAGCCTTGCTGTTCCTCCCTCTTTTCCCATGCAGCTGAGCTGGAGTAAAGAGACAACCCTGAGCAGCCTCAGCACCTGCCTCCTCTCAGTCCACCCAGCACCTCAACGCCCAGCTGAGCCCAGCACAAAACCCTTTCTCACCAACAAGCTCACTTCTCTTGCTTTATTTCATTTTGATGTGCGAACTACAAAAACAAAAAAACACAAACCCAACAAAACAAACCACCAAAAACCCAAAATACAAACAAACACACCACAAGCCTGGGGACAAACCACCTGCTCTCACCACCCCGGCACGAGGCGTGGGGCTGCAGGGAGCCCCTAGGAGGCAGGATCCTGAGTGGGATGGGGCAGGTGCAGGTGGGGGGCGGCACTAGGGCCACCCCCACCACTGCCTCACTGGCTATAGTAGTAGTCCTGGCCGTACACGTCGTAACCGTGCCCCTTGTAGTAGCCATACTCGTCCTCGTAGGCCCGGTAGGTGTCCCCACGGGAGGACTCATCCTGCTCCACGTAGCTGCCCTCTGTGGTGCCCTCGTCCCCCCGGCCGTGGCCTCCAGCTGTCACCTCATACTCCCACTGCTCCCCAGCTGTGGTGGCCTCTGTTGGTCCCCCATGTCCCATGGTGGTGGCCTGGGACAGCCCCTCTTCGCTGGTGGTGCTGGCGATGGTGGTGGCTTCGGTTTCCTCCTCCTCTTCCTCCTCTTCTTCTTCTTCTTCCTCCTCCTCCTCCTCTTCCTTCTCTTCCTCTTCCTCAGCTGCACCAGTGCCCTCCTCAGCCACTGCGGTGCCGTTGCCAGGAGGTCCTTCTGCTCCCTCAGTGGTGTTGGTGCTCGTGCCGTTGATGCCATTCTCGTTCTCGGCTACCTCTTCTTCCTCCTCCTCTTCTTCCTCCTCTTCCTCGTTCTCGTCACTGTCTTCATTCTCAGAGTCATCCCCCTTGCCAGCAAAGCTGTTCCTGGCCCCCTTCAGGGGCTCTTGGCAGCCCTTGCCCTGGTTGGGGACACACACAAGACCACAGCATCAGCTGGCTCCCAGGAGGTTGCAGCTTCCCAGCGCCACGGGCACAGCTGAGCACCCCCCCATGCCTTGAGTGCCCAGCCTGCCTCTTAGGGGGGGCCCTTCTGACCCTCCAGCCAGCTCAGCACCCAGAGCTTGGCCCAGCCAGGGGCACCTTGTGCAGCAGAAGCCCCGCTCCCCCAAGCAGCGATGAGGTGTGGAGCACCCCATGGGTGCAGGTGAACTTGCAGTGAACATACCCCCTTCCTGTGGGTGCTCCCCTTCAGCACCCCCAAAAAAAACAAACCAACAAACCCACACCTGCTGGGGGATTGAGACCTGGCTGTCCCCAGGGGCTGCTGCAGTGGGATGGCCATCTGCCTTGGTGCCAGGGTGGAATGGCTTCTGCAGGGACAGAGAGAGGACAAGGGCAGGTGGTCAGCAGCAGGGGTGGGGCACAGCCAGGAGCAACCCCACATGGCATTTGGACACAGCTCCGAGTTCCCTGCTTTCCCACGGGTCTCACCCCAGGCTGAAAAAGAGAAGGTGCTGCCCAAGCCATGACATTAAAAGCCAGGGCCTTCTCAGTGGTGTCCAGTGACAGGACAAGGGGCAATGGGTGCAAACTGGAGCACAGGAGGTTCCACATAAATGTGAGGAATAACTTCTTTGCTGTGAGAGTGACAGAGCCCTGGGACAGGCTGCCCAGAGAGGCTGTGGAGTCTCCTTCTCTAGAGACATTCAAACCTGCCTGGATCCTGTGTGTGCTCTGAGTGACCCTGCTCTGGCAGAGGGGTTGGACTGGGTGATCTTTCCAGATCCCTTCCAACCCCTGAGATTCTGTGACTGATTTTGTGAAAAGTGATGGTGGCTGGAGCTGGGTGTTCCCATCCTGGCTACGCCTTTTGCTTGGCAAAAGCATCTCGAGGTTTGCTTTTGAAGCTCCCTCTCCCAGTTTGCAACAAACGGAGGGAGCCACAGGCAACACTCCACATGGACACACAACCAGCACGGAGCCATCAGCACCGCTGGGCCCCAGAGACCACCCACAGCAGAGAGGGTCTCTCAGCAGGGTGTGTGGCAGCCCATGCCACCAAAACAGGCAAGGAACAACCCAAAAATGCAAGAACCTGGAGCCACCACTGAGTGGTGGGGCAGCAAACCTTGTCCCCAGCCTGGTATGAGGAGCTCCTGCCACTGACAAATGAACCCAGCTGTGGAGGGGAGAAGTGGGATCACTGCCATGCCTGCCCCAGGCCATGCCCAAGAGCAAGGACACTCACCCTGGCCTTTTGGGCCAACTCAGAGACTTCAAATCTGTGTGTATCTCATACCCAGGAAAACCCAGGGTGTTCTCCTCCCAACTGGAGAAGCAACCAAGTGGCACAGTGCAGCAGGCTCTGCTGGGATTCTCCCCCTCTGCTCTGGTGAGACTCCACCTGGAGTACTGGGTCCAGTTCTGGAACCCTCAACACAGAAAGTACATGGATCTGTTGGAGAGGGTCCAGAGGAGACTACGAAGATAATCAGAGGGCTGGAGCAGCTCTGCTCTGGAGACAGACTGAGAGAGTTGGGGTGTTCAGCCTGGAGAGGAGAAGGCTCCAGGGAGACCTTAGAGCACCTTCCAGTGCCTGAAGGGGCTCCAGGAAAGCCGGGGAGGGGCTTGGGACAAGGGCTTGTAGTCAGAGGACAAGGGGGGATGGATTAAAACTGGGAGAGGGGAGATTGAGGTGAGACATGAGGAGGAAATTCCTGAGTGTGAGGGTAGTGAGACACTGGCACCGATGATCTCTAAGGTCCCTTCCATACCAACCCAAACCATTCCACAGTTCTATGCTCCAGCAGCTGATACAACAGTGCTCTTCACATCCCTATAATGGACCTTGGGGCCCTTCAGCAAGATTTACCTTCCTGCCCACTCCCCACCAGTGAGGGCTTGCAGGGAACTGGTGCCCTTGAAACAGAAGGGGCAGCCCCAAACAGCAGCTGCCTTCCTGCATGTCACCTCATTGCTCCCTTGGGAATAAAATGCCCCCTTTGGCTTCTTCCACTACCTTTGGCTTCCCATGCTCTCTGGGGCTCACAGTGGTCTGGGAGAGCAATGGGCAGAAAGAGACAAGCTGCAGGGAGCTGCAGGGACTGGGTGCCTGGGGGACAAGAGCCACCCTGTGCTTCACCCCCTGTCCCAGGCAGGTCTCCAAAGGGGGTTTGAAAGCCAGATGCCCAGGTTTAAAACCCTGTTAGAAAGACCCCTGAATCCAAAATCATTAAATGAAAGCAAATGAACAGTGATGGGACCAGACCTGACATGCAGTTTCCAAGCCAGCCAGGAAGCCACATCCCTTTCTCCAAGTGAACCTCCCTGCCTCTTCCCCACTTGGCCCATCCTGCTCCTTTTTCTGACTCACTGAAAACAGACACCTGGAAAGTTTGTCTCAGGGTTGCTTGGTGCATCCCCTGTCCGTTCTCTTCTCTTTCTTTTTTTTTTTTTTTTTTTAAAAAAAAAGGAGCAGAAAAAGGGGAAAAAATAATTAAAAATATGAAAACCAAACAAGCAAACAAAAAGCCCAGAGCAGAACAATCCAGTTGTGTCCAGAGCCGGGGCTTGGGGGCGGAAACCCAGCCGCAGAGGCTGATGAGCAGAGGCTCCCAGGCCAAAAAAAGGCTTCCAAATTCCCGTCTGTGTGTTTTGCAGGCTGCTGGTTTGCTGTACTCACCCTCCCTTCCTCCTCCTCCTCCTCTTCCGAGCCGTCCCCCTCTTCCTCCGATGAGTCACTGCCCTAAGGAGAGGGAGAACCCAGCAGTGGTCAGGCTGGTGGGGCCCCACCTGCTGTCCTCACCGGTGGCCTCAGTGGGGCCAGTGGCCATTCAGGGCCCAGCCCCTGCTGCCACCTCGTTTGGGAGCCAATAACTCAGCCTTGAACAGCCCCAAATTCCCCCTTTGGTGGGCTGTGAACCAGCAGCACCCACCTGGTACCGCTGCTGCAGGGGGTGCAAGTAGGCGTGTCTGTACAGGTAATACCGGTGCCTGCTCTTGAACACCTGCCAGGAGAGGAAGTGGGGGGGATGGGGGTAAATCCCACCAGTCTGGGACTTGGGTTCAGGAGTGACCACAAACCATCCTTGCCCTGGAAGCCAAGCAGCAGGTGGTGCTGGGCACACAGGGGGAGGGGGTGGGGGGAACCAACCCTACCGCGTTTTCATCCGAGTCGTCCAACTTGGCCCGTCGCAGCCAACTCTTCACCTGCAGGAAAGGCTGGGTTGGCACGTGCCCCCCCCGCCCCCACCTCCAGCCCCAGCAAGACTGGGGGGTCCCCCTAACACCCAGCACTCACCGAGAAGGCACATGCCATCCCCACCAAGCACGTGAAGACCAGGGCAGTCCTCATGGCTGCTTTCTCTGGGAACAGCAAAACACAGCGACGGCTTGATGTGCAGCTGGAAGGCACTGTCACTACCCCAAACCATACAGGTGTTTGTGTCCACCCAGGTGAACAGAGAAGAGAGAGGCTGACCTCCAGACACCTCTCAATACACTCAACCACTCCAGAGACCCAAGCCTTTCTTATTTTGACAGATCTGCATCAATTTCCATGAGTACATAGAAATACTTGCCCCTCTGGAGTGAGTCCAGAGGAGGCCATGAAGATGATCCAAGGGCTGGAGCAGCTCTGCTCTGGCTGGGAGAGTTGGAGTGTTCAGCCAGGAGAAGAGAAGGCTCCAGGGAGACCTTAGAGCACCTTCCAGTGCCTGAAGGGGCCTCCAGGAAAGCTGGGGAGGGGCTGTTTACAAGGGCTTGGAATGATGGTATGAGGGGGTAATGTCTCTGAACTGCAAGAGGGTGAGTTTAGGTGAGACATTAGGAAGAAATTCTTCACTATGAGAGTGTTGAGACACTGGACCAGGTTGCCCAGGGAAGCTGTGGAAGCCCCATCCCTGGAAGTGTTCAAGGCAAGGTTCGATGGAGCTCTGAGCAACGTGGTTTAGTGAGAGGTGTCCCTGCCCATGCAGGGGGGTTGGAACTAGATGATTTCTTAAGGTCCATTCCAACCCAAACCAGTCTACGACTCTATGATTTTGTTTTTGCAAGAAACCACAAAATACCAGTAGAGCCACTTTCACCCAGCAGTGGATGCATTGCTTTCCCTGAGCTGGACTACTTGCTCCCACCATAGAATCATAGAATGGTTTGTGTTGGAAGGGAACTTAAGAAAATAATCTCATTCCAACCCCCCCTGCATGGACACCTCCCACCAGCCCAGGCTGCTCAGAGCCCCATCCAACCTGCCCTTCAACACTGCCAGGGATGGGGCAGCCACAGCTTCCCTGGGCAACCTGGGCCAGGCTCTCACCACCCTCACACTCAAGAATTTCCTCCCCATGTCTCACCTCAATCTCCTCTCTCCCAGTTTCAATCCATTACTGGAAGAGGGGAAATTCAGGTTAGACATTAGATTAGTCTCTCCTGCGGTCCCATGGCCTATAAGAGAGTGGGGGAAACCAAGCCCTGCTGGAGCTGCCCCAGGAGCAGGCAGCAGGAGCACTGCCCACTGCAGCCACCCTCCCTCAGCCCTGCAACCTGCTGGGCCTCTGCCCAGGGATCAAGGAATTGCATTGCAGAGACTTTCACCTCATCCAGGAAAAAAAACAAACAACAAGTAAGCAAGTAATTCAGTGTATATAACTGACCTGTTCTACACCCTGCCCTTGACAAAAAGAGCCTTGGCAAGGAACCAGCATCAGGAACCCCCTGAAGGGAAGGCTTGGTCCTGGGCAGTTCTGCGCTGCTTTCCTTCCAAGCCCCAAATCACAGCCTGCCCTCCATCCCGACCAGAGGAGGGAGCAGACCTCACCATTCACAGCCTGCCCCCCAGGCTCCATCAGCCCCACTGATCTTCCTTTCTCCTACCCTTCCTCCAGCTCGACCAACCAGCAGCTGTGCTTGAGGTTTAGGGGGGAAGGAGGGGGAGTTGATATTGTATTGATCTGCAGTTGAAGTTGCCCTGTGTCCCTTAAACACAGGCTGGAGAGCAGCTGGTCACACAGCAGCTGCCCCTCCAGGAAGCCTCAGACCCAGGGAAGGGCTAAAAGCAGCAGTCAGACCCTCAGGGAAGGGCTAAAGCCCCCCCAGGGAAGGGCTAAAGCCCCCCCAGGGAAGAGCTAAAAGCAGCAGCCAGACCCTCCAGGAAAGGGCTAAAAGCAGCAGTCAGACCCTCCAGGAAAGGGCTAAAGACCCCTCAGGAAAGGGTTAAAGACCTCCCAGGAAAGGGCTAAAAGCAGCATTCGGACCCTCCAGGAAAGAGCCAAAGACTCTCCAGGGAAGGGCTAAAGACCCTCCAGGGAAGAGCTAAAGACCCTCCAGGGAAGGGCTAAAGACCCTCCAGGGAAGAGCTAAAAGCAGCAGTTGGACCCCCCAGGGAAGGGCTAAAAGCAGCAGTCAGACCCCTCAGGAAAGGGCTAAAGACTCCCCAGCAGAGGTCTAGAGGCAGCAGGCACCCCCTCATCAAGCTGCCCCCCCCAGCCCCCCCCAGAGGAGCAGACAGGCCCCCCAGCTCCCCCTGCCCAGGGGCCGCCCCTCCAGCCGCCGGCAGAGATTTCCTCCAGCCCTCGCTGCCAGGTTATAACGTCTGGGTTTGCCCCCCCCCACGCCCGTCCCCGCCCCGC